CAAGCAAACAGTCTGGAGACCACTGACCTAGATAAATAAGAACCTTCACAGACCTAAAACTACCATGCAAATTATTAAAAAAAAAATTGTATACCTCTCAGAAGTATGCATCTACTAGTTTATTGGCACAGTTGCAATTTAAAAACAAGGTGATTTAAACAGAAAGAATAGTGTCTTTTGTACTGTTATCATCCTTCCATCTTCCAGCTGTTATTTTTTTTTCTGAAGTAGGAAATTAATGCCTATGTGTGATTGGTTGCCAAAATCCTGATTGGATTTCAATAATTGTCCACAAGACTGAAAATAGTCCTAGTTTATCAAAGGTTTCTGATGGAAAGGAATTTTTTGTTGCCCATCAGCCCTCAATAGCCCTCAATCTTATTTTTTTTTTTTTTTTACTTTCACTCATTCTCCCAGATCATCATGGAAGAGAAGAGAAAAAAAATCTAATTTGGTGCTAAAGGTAACATTGTCATTATGTATAAATTCATGTGGATACCTTGAAGGCCCATTCAGATTGTACCTATGTGTTGTGGTGTGCATAGGATGACAATACTGACTGAGTGGTTCCCTAAGGACAAGCAGTGCTGTCCCTCTTGAAATGTCTGTGCTTACATGCCAATAAACAGCTCAACAGCAAATCAGCCTGTTACTTCTCAGTGTGGGATTCCAAAATGACATACCTCACTTGGCAAGGCCACATACACCCTGTGATGGACAGCAGTTTTAATGCAACTTTAAATACAAAGAGTCCCTGTCACCAGATTGTTCATTTCAACAACAATCTTTCCATAAGATTATTTTTATGCATTTAACATACTCTGTGCATGGTATTGCCTGTAAAAGCCTCCTTTTTGTAGATATCCAAAAACCCTGAGACTGCTGCTGGGCACCACTGTCTTGTATGTGATGTTTGCTGACTCAGATGTCACTCAAATGACACTCTATAGCAGGGTTTCTCAACCAGGGCTCCATGGAACTCTAGGATTCCTCCAGAGGTTGCTAGGGGTTCTTTGAGCAATGAGCAATTTTTGCCTCTCAGGCAAGTTCCCGCTGACACCGTTGATCTTTTTAGCAATCTGTAAGGGGGTAATTCTTCCCAATGACCACAAGTTTAAGGAACATTCTTACTTCTATCACACTAATATATCATGAATTGTAGATAAAGTCATTTTTAGAGGGGGTTCCCTGAGACCTGAAAGTTATGTCAAGGGTTCCTCTGCATTGAAAAGGTTGAGAAAGGCTGCTCTGTAGTATTCAACTTTGCTGCTTCACTGGCAGCTACATAATAAGTTATGTAGGGAAATGAAGCGAGGGGTGGAGGAGCTGGGCCAGCTTAGACAGTAATTACACAGTCCTAGATAAGCAGAGGGCAATGACATGCAAAGAGGGATGGGGCTGTGCAAAGGCATATTGCAATGTATTATTATATAATCTATGGGAAGGAAAAACACTGCAAATAAGCATTTGAAATACTTGATTTTTCTATACTTGTACCAGTATTTTTTTACATTGGTGACAGAGTCTCTTTTAAAACATTTACTCAAGCAAGCAAAATAACTGTTGTGTAGAAATAAAATCTTTGAATGTCATAGCTTTAGAACATACACCTGCCCCTGTGACGCTCCTGCATAAAAACAAAGTGCAAAGGACCACAGCAGTGCCATGGTATAGCACTGCCAGTTTTTTAAAGTTCATAAATATATATATGTATATACAGTATATAATTTTATCTTCTTTTAAGGGGGCTTTTGTTGATATAATGTCTTGCCAGTACCTCTTTTTTTGTGTTGAAGATTTACTTTAAAGGATAAGGTTCACTTTTATATTTTGCAGGAAAAAAAAATGTGCATTTATTATTTTTGTCTGCATGAGCCTGTACAGCATTGCGCCAGTGATCAGATCGCTGGTGCCATTCAGGTCTCCTGCAAATGTGTCAGAATATTTGCTTGCTCATAAGTGATGTACCAGCAAGCAGATGTACAGACAGGAAGAATCAATGAACTACCACTCTGGTAGTTCATTGAGGACTCCAAGCTGACAGCCGCTAAGGCTGCCGGGACTTGTAGTCTCTCATTCACAGAATTCTGTGAATGAATGATGTAGTTGGGCGGGCAGAGCCACGTTTTTTTTTAAATTTGACAGCTAGCGGGGAGGGGAGAAGATCCCCCACATCAGATCGTAACATGTTACATCCCAATGTTGCAACCTCATCCCTTTAAAACCGCACACATACTAATTACACAGGTTCTGAGGCTAATTTATAGCAGATAAGGTACTAAGTGAGTTTAATTACCACCTTGATCAGCCACAGAATCTGTGTAATTAATATGTGTTCAGTTTTAGCCCTCATGCACACTTGACGTTTTGATAACGCTGGTAACGATAGCTGTGTAAAGTCACGTTAAAAATGTGAGTTTTTTAGCGTTTTTGCATTAGCATATAATGCCGGTTTCCCACGTTAATGTTTTTTAGCGTTTTTTTTATTAAAAAAGTCCAAAAATGCTGGTTTGCAGTGTTTTACTGCGTTTTTACAGTTAAAAAAAAACTCCTCTAGAAACCCGTGGTTCTGTTTTTTTTTTTACCAGCCAAAAAACGTTGATTACAGTCTGTGTGCATGGACACATAGGATAACATGCTGGGGGGTTTACTAGCTGTAGAAAAAAACGTCAAAAGCCAAAAACAGCCGCTATAAAAATGTCAAGTGTGCATGAGGGCTTAAAGGGATGAAATGGCAACCCTAGTTACACCATGAACATGGGTGTAACATGTAACATGTTACGAAAGATGAACTTATTCTTTAAGTGTATCAGTTGAACTGTATGATTAATATTTTTATGGCTTGATCTTTATATTAATGTCATAAGACAGGTCATAGATATTCAGACTTTCTTAACCCTTCTCCTGATACTGGTATAGTTACCTGCACCCAGGGGCGGACTGACCATTTGGAAACTCTGGCACTGCCCGAGGGCCTGGGGTCAGTAGGGGGCCCCATGAGATGCCCCTGGTACCTTTTTCATAGGCTTTTTGAGTTTGAGCAAGCACACAGAGGCCCCATGATCCCCTATTGCCCGGGGGCCCCATGAGTTGTTAGTCCGCCCCTGCCTGCACCAACTGTTAACAGTCTGACTGTACAATCTCTGTATAAATACCCTAGGATTTACCACAACCATGTAATATGGTGACTTACCTAAACTCTTCATTTAATCTGTATCCAATTACGTACAGCATAGGTCTTCAATGGTAGATCTAAATTTATTATACAGTCAAACTGTAATGTGTTTTAAGCAATACATGCATACTTGTATATTTTTACCAGGATACACTGGGGTTGATTTACTAAAGCTGGAGAGTGCAAAATCTGGTGCAACTCTGCATAGAAACCAATCTTTCTTTTTGTCAAAGCTTAACTGATCCAGCTGACGTTAGGAGCTGATTGGCTACCATGCACAGCTGCACCAAATTTTGCACTCTCCAGTTTTAGTAAATCAACCCCAGTGTGACTGCACATAAATTCAAACCAGCAGCAGATCTGATCCTGATGAGTTTATCCTAGTAGCACTGGCACATAGACTCCATATGCTTCCACAATAGGGTTGCCACCTCATCCCTTTAAAACCAAACACATGTTAATTACACAGGTTCTGTGGTTGATTAAGGTAGTAATTAAGCTCACATATCCCTGGTTCACATATATGCGGCCGTGCGGGCCGCATTTTGCGCAGGCATGAGAACCCATTCATTTGAATGGACTCACGTGCCCCGGTCCCTTCACTTCTTTGGAAACCGCAGCCCGCATGGGAACCTTGGTTCCCAGTGCGGTTGCGATTTTCAGTGCAGGCGGCGTGCCATTAGAATTATTGGCACCCGCCCATGGGTCCGCATTCTTCTGTGTGGGTGGTGCGGCTGCAAGGATTTTTGTGTGGATCCGCAACGGCACCACCTGAACATATGTGAACCTAGCCTAAGTGTCTTACCTGCATTAAATTAGCCTCAGAACCTGTGTAATTAATATATGTTCGGTTTTAAAGGGATGAGGTGGCAACCCTATTCCACAAGCATATTACCATGAATGTTTACATGAACACACTTTAACTACGGAACATGGTTTAACTATGGAAAGTCCACTGTTCATTTACTTTCACGGTGTGGGTGCTAGGAAGCCATGGCTATTGTACACCCAGTAACTGCCATTTTTATTTTATGATTCTATAACATTGCCCCCATGATCAGATTGTCTCTGGTCTCCAGGTCCCACCTACACTTGTCTGTTTTCATGTGTTTACATAAACACACTTTAACTACGGAACACGGTTTAGCTATGGAAAGTCCACTGTTCATTTACTTTCATGGTGTGGGTGCTAGGAAGCCATGGCTATTGTACACCCAGTAACTGCCATTTTTATTTTATGATTCTATAACATTGCCCCCATGATCAGATTGTCTCTGGTCTCCAGGTCCCACCTACACTTGTCTGTTTTCATGCAGCAAAACTCATACATTTTGCTGCATGAAAATGTATTTCAAGTAAAAATCCAATTCTTTCTTATATGGCTGGTTCACATCTATGCGCCGCAGTTTAATGGAAAAGATAAAGGGAAACTATATGGGCGCATCCACACCCACACATCTGCCTTACCATGCTCGCTACAATGCACACAGAACAGTGTGAATCCAGTCTCAAGCATTAACAAAACCAAAAAAAAGGGGTTTAAACCCCATCTGAGGAACGGGTATAGAAAAATGCAAAGCAGGTTGAAAACCTGTGATAACCCTGTTAAAACACGCTGTTCCTTATACTTTAATAATATGACAGTTTTGTACGGTGTTAGTTCACTTCATTTTTCCAAGCACCAATGTGGTTTATTGTTTTCACAGAGGAAAATAATCAAAAAAAGAATTCAATAAATAAAACAAAAACCTAGAACCTTCCATGTGGTCAGAACAGGAACTGATATGGTAGGTACTATAAGCTTCCGCAACAAAAGGAATTGCGTTCATTTTAATGGAACACCTTCAAGTGAAATAACCACATTGCCTCCTAGTTTATCTGCCAGGGTGCTTCGGTCTTTGATATCATCCATGCCATTCACTTGCCACTCGTGTTTGATGCCTAGGAACAATAAAGATGACATGTTGGAAACTGTTGACAGTCAACAAATAGTTACATGTTAAAAACACTTCAGCCATTATCACCTGACTGAACTTTCAGTTAAATCAGCTAGATACATTGATCCTAGGTTCACACCTATGCGGCCGGGCAGGCCGTGTTTTGCTCGGGCACGAGAGCCCGTTCATTTGAATGGACTCCCGTGCCTGTGACACGCAGGGAAAAAAGGCCCTGTACTACTTTGGAAAACGCAGCCCGCACGGGAACCTCGGTTCCCAGTACAGTTGCATTTCCCAGTGCGGGCGGCATGCCATTAGAACTAATGCCACTCACCCGCGGGTCCGCAATTCTCTGTGCGGGTGGTGCGGCTGCACGGATTTTCGTGTGGATCCGCAGCGGCACCACCCGCATAGATGTGAACCAGGGGTGAAGCAGAACTAAACCCATTGATTTAACAGTTTTCAGAAAACCGTTACATTCCCAGCATGTGATATGATGTAACTGTCTCCAAACTATCAAATCATCAAATGTCTGGTGTCATGACCAATCCCATGTGCAGCATCATGACATTTGATGATCAAAGGCTAAGATGGCAGCTTCCTTGTCTGAAAGCGATAGGAGGGTTTAACCACTTCAGCTCCGGAAAGCTTTACACCCTTCATGATCAGGCCATTTTTTTGCTATTCATGACTGCACTATTTTAACTGGTAATTGCGCGGTCATGCAACGCTATACCCAAATTAAATTTATATAATTTTTTTCACACAAATAAAGCTTTCTTTTGGTGGTATTTGATCACCACTGGGTTTTTTATGTTTTATTATATAAATGAAAAAATACTGAAAAAAAAAAATTTTTTTGCTTTCTGCTATAAAACATTTCCAATAAAAACATACAAAAATCTAATTTCTTCATAAATTTAGGCCAAAATGTATTCTGCTATAAGTCTTTGGTATAAAAACAAAATCCCAATAAGTATATATTGATTTCCATGAAAGTTTTAACGTCTACAAACTATGGTATATATACTGGAATTTTCATTCATTTATTTATATATATATATATATATATATATATATATTTATTTTTTTATTTTATTTTTTATACTACTAATGGAGATGATCAGCGACTTATAGTGAGACTGTGATAGCGAGGCGGGCAATCTGACACTAACTGTCACTGGGTGGGAGCTGACACTGACATCACCAGTGACATTAATACAGTGATCAATGATAATACTATACACTGTACTAATGACACTGACTGAAAATGGGTAAAAGCAGAGCTCCACCAAAAAGGATAAGTTCTGCTTTAAAGACTAGTCCCCCACTCGCTATTAAGGATTAGCACCTTTGGGGAGTGGGTACTCAAAAATTGATAGGTACCCGCTCCCACTTCCGCTGCAATCGCCTAGGTCCAGATCCCCAGATTCCAGAAGACTACAGGACCATTCAGAAACCGTGTGCAGTGGGCACCCAGCTGTAAAGCTGCAAGCTGTAACGGCTAGGTGCCCACACTGAAGATACCGGTGCTAGGAACACAGGGCGGCCAGTGAACCGGACTACAGGGGGGACACCAAGGAATCAATGGAGTGAAGAGTAAAAGTTCAAACCTGTGAACTTCTTCTTAATGGCATCTTTGGAACTGGCATAGATCATTTTGCTTTTCAGCGGTGCGTTGTCAGGAGCCCTAGAAGATAAAAAGGCAATAGCTTCATTATAGATTACTTTATAAATACAGGGTATTAATATTATGACTATAAAGTACTGAAATAGGATTCAAAAGCAAAAAAGGATAGCACTAAATAGTGCATTAATATTGCACGGCTATATCATCAATAGAACATCAACAATGTCATTTCATCACGTTATTTACAGCTGTCAGTGCCGGATTTCAGATGTGTACTCTTAGGCCACTTTTATTGTGTAGTGGCCAAAGTTGTTTTTAGACATAGTGTATATTTCGACAAACACCAAATAAAACTACATTTAATTATTTGTCACTTGGATATTGAGCAGGGCTATATGATTGTGAACCTGTGCTTTGCCTGTCCACTTCATTACCATCCTTGTATCTCCGTTTATGTGACTAAAGTGAAGTAAAGAGGCCCTCCTGTGGCTTATACAGTCAGGTCCATAAATATTGGGACATCGACACAATTCTAAAATTTTTGGCTCTATACACCGCCACAATGGATTTGAAATGAAACAAACAAGATGTGCTTTAACTGCAGACTGTCAGCTTTAATTTGAGGGTATTTACATCCAAATCAGGTGAACGGTGTAGGAATTACAACAGTTTGCATATGTGCCTCCCACTTGTTAAGGGACCAAAAGTAATGGGACAATTGGCTTCACAGCTGTTCTATGGCCAGGTGTGTGTTATTCCCTCATTATCCCAATTACAATGAGCAGATAAAAGATCCAGAGTTCATTTCAAGTGTGCTATTTGCATTTGGAATCTGTTGCTGTCAACTCTCAAGATGAGATCCAAAGAGCTGAAGAGATAGGTCCATGATAAATCTATACTGCTTTAACTGCAGTGGAAAAAAGTTAGGCTAGAGACCTGGCTATGCTACCTGGAAGAAGTGAATACATCTCAGGAGTCACTGAACAAAAAAAAAAAAAAAAATCCCCCCCCCCCCCCAAATACAATTACAAATCCTTTGGCAGGTAAAACAAAGTTTACATATGTATTAAATGGTGTATTTAGCTGCTTGTCTAAAGTTCTTCTTTAAACCTGAAACTTGTCCTTTAGAGAGCTATGCTTTGCAGTTACACTCATGCCTTAAGATACTTACTAATCACATGAACTGGTAACACCATGCTTCTATGTACGGTAACTATTTAGTGTAGTGTATGCTAATATCTTGGAAATACAGTATGCTGTACACCTTAACAAATGAGATTCTAATGATAAAAAACAAATAACAGGCAGCAATAACATGTGGAAATAAATCCGCATTAAACCCAAAACCAAAAATGAAATATATCGCAGCTTACCAATGATTAGATGAGTTTGCTGCATTAGTTTTCTAATTGTTTTTTTTGCTTTTCCCCCCTGTTTTCTCTTAGTGATCTGGCCAATAGCATACCTCCTGTATTAGAGTGCCCCCACTCTGGATGAATGAGCATGGGGGCACCTTTGGGCAGCACATTTTCAGTCTGGAGGGAGGAAAATGTTAGATGTACTAGCAGATTTAGATACACTAACCGATAGAAGCCAAACTTGTGATAAATGCATGCATCCCTTGTGATAGAAATAATTAGTGACATGTCCTCTTTATGGAGAGATATGGGGTCAGTAAGACCCCACATCTCTCCTCTACAATGTAAATCATTAGATCAAACAAAAACATTGATCTAGTGCTGTAAAAAAAAAAAAAAATGGCCGGAACGGAAAGTGAAGGAAAGATGGCCGCCACTCATCTCTATGCCCAGCGCCGGGATCGATGGTTTCTCAGGTAAGGCTGAGAACTACCGGGCGGCAGCGGCGGGCGGGATGAGCAGTAGCGGCGGGCGGGTGGTCAGCCACGAGGGGAGGGGTTATTTCACCTGTATCTGTTTTTTTTTTTTTATTTCAGCCAACTGCCGAAAGGGATGTTTTCGTCGGTCGAAATGTTTCGGCCACCGAAATTTCGGTGCATCCTTACTAAAAAGAAATCTAATGCACACACTATATCTAAGTATTTCTAGCAGCAATGCAATTAACATTTGCTTTTGTGGTTTTAATACTCCTTTAACCTCCCTAGCGGTCTGATTATGTCCTTATTTCTGTGCTCAAAGCGGTACATTTTTTTGCATTGAAATATGTATTTTTTTTTGTAGGCCTGTAATTTTTAGTAATAACTCACTGAAATCTGTCCGAACAAGAGTCTAGTAAACATCCCGGGTATGTTAAAATTTGAAACACGAAATCATAAATTATAATATAATAAATAATCATAAAAAATAATAATATAATAAAACATTTAATTCAATAATATAAATCAAATCAAAAACACTGAAATTGGAAACATAGCGCCAAGTTCGCACATCACTGAGCAAAGTCGCAGAATCGTTTTCAATGTCTGATGACGAATTCCCCCACGAATCATTATCACTCAATTCTGCAAGTGGTTCTGATTTACTATTGCTGTTCTCTAGCTGGTCTAAAACCGCTTTTGACCTAAAGGGACGCTTTTTGGACGCCATGGACGTTTCTCAGTTTCCAGGCAGAAAGAACAGTAAAAATGCAGGCAGGGCACAGGACAAAGCACTCGGGACAAAATGTATGTGAAATGGTTTGCTACAGTAATGTTTTACTATGTGATTTTAGTGTATTTAGTGAATGTCACTTTTTGTCATTTTCAAATTTCCCACCAGTTCCGTCCCCCATACGTCCTGACGTCGCAGGGGACGGAACACAGATGACAGATGCCGGCATCCGCTGGAGGACATTACAGGGGACACTGCAGGAGGGACATTGTGGGAGCAGAGGACAAGGTAAGTGATCGAGGGATCCCGAAGCCCGAGTGTAGCTCGGGGTTACCACTTGTGGTACTGAAACTTTACCCCGAGCTACACTCGGGAATACCGCCAGGGAGGCTACACAAAATGAACATGAAACAATACTGCATATCTCTATTTGAAATCTTGAATAATCATTTAAAGTGGTTGTATAGGCTCAAAGTTTTTTATACCTGCATTCCACTGCTATCTCAATCAATGAGGCTGTCTGGGGACTCTCCCTCCTCATTGGTTGAGACACCTCCTCATTGGCTGAGACAGCAGTGAGGGTCATTGGCTACCATTGCTGTCAATAACAACCAGTGAGCCAATGAGGAGAGAGAGAGGGGGCAGAGCTGAGCCATGGCTCTGTGTGTGAATGGACAAACAGAGCAGCGGCTCAGGAGCATGCCTGCTTGGGTGCCCCCATAGCAAGCTACTTGCTCTGGGGGCATTCGGCAGGAGAGAGGGACCTGAGAGGAGGAGGATCGGGGCTCCCCTGTGCAAAACCACTTCACGGAGCAGGTAATTATAACGTTTTTTTGTTTTGTTTTTTAATTCCTTTAATATCATTTTAATTTGATGATATATATATCACAAGGCATGCATGTTTGCATCATGGTATAAACCCACCTGAGTGATCCCACCAGGAAGCTATCCCTGTACTTTGCCAATAATAACTGGTCAAAGAATTCCCCAGCTTGCAGCCTCACATACTTTATACCAGGGGTATGTACACTGTATGTGCAGCTACAGGGCAAGGAATGCCTCTTTCTGGTGGGATCACTCCGGTGGATTCAGACTAGGATCCAAACACACATGCCTGGGCTCATCCCTACTCATCACATCAGAGTGACCAGCTTTTTATTAGCAAGTAAAAAAGCACTCCAATATCTCCTCTCCATGGAACCAAGCTTGCTTTCCTCTATGGTCTTGTACTCCAGATGGATGGATATCCCACAGGGAAATCAGCATGTTCTGGTACAATCACACAAGTGGTGGGAAAATCTTTGTTCCACTGAGCAACCACTTTGATACCATGTCAATGGTTTGCAAATTTTGATTGAATTGAATCCCACTTGCCAGCTGTAGCTTACCACTAGAAAATTACAAGTGCCTGTTTTCGGGCTTCCTCCTCCAAGGTGAGTAAATCCTTGCTGTCCATGTGGACACACACAAGCAGTGCTAAGTACATAAGTGCTAGGGGCAATATATTACTTTGCTCTTCATTTCCTACAGTAAATTTCTTGGGTTGAGTTCAGTTTGGAGTTTTGCCATCTCAGCTGATATACTTGTTGCATAATCCGCAGCCTCAGCTTCTCTTGGCAACAGATGACACCACTATTAGCTTGTGCCAGCTGCGCCTGCCTTGCAAGAAGGATTCACAAATTCACCCCTTCTAGTTTGTAATGAGAAGTGGGGCTATTAATAATATACATACAGAACACAGCCAAATATCACCAAGTGTGTGATTGTTGCCACAGTAGCAGTATGGGACCTCCGTCCATAATGCACAGAAGAAGGCTCACAAAGGCTGAAATCCCTCTTGGCAGTGAAGAGGTGAAAAGGTTGTTTGGGTGATCTAGACCAGTGGTGGGCAACCTTTTTTTTCAACTGAGCCAAATCTCGCCAAAACCACGATTGAAATTTATTTTGAGAGCCACATTTTTAAAACTGAAAATACATCTCCCATATAGTAATTCATCCCCCATAGTAATTCATCCCCCATATAGTAATTCATCCCCCATATAGTAATTCATCCCCCATATAGTAATTCATCCCCCCATAGTAATTCATCCCCCATATAGTAATTCATCCCCCATAGTAATTCATCCCCCATATAGTAATTCATCCCCCATATAGTAATTCATCCCCCATATAGTAATTCATCCCCCATAGTAATTCATCCCCCCTATAGTAATTCATCCCCCATAGTAATTCATCCCCCATATAGTAATTCATCCCCCATATAGTAATTCATCCCCCATAGTAATTCATCCCCCATATAGTAATTCATCCCCCATATAGTAATTCATCCCCCATATAGTAATTCATCCCCCATATAGTAATTCATCCCCCCTATAGTAATTCATCCCCCATAGTAATTCACCCCCCATATAGTAATTCATCCCCCATATAGTAATTCATCCCCCATATAGTAATTCATCCCCCATATAGTAATTCATCCCCCATAGTAATACA